GCGGATTTGGGCTGTACTCAGCAAGCGCAGTACAGCCTCGAACTCAGATTTGAAAAAAAATCAGTGGATGGTTGTTTTCTGACTGGTCGGCAGACCGCCGACCAGTCGGCCCTGCTGGTCGGCTGCAAAACAGTCGGCCGTCGGCAGCTATGCAACCCTGACCCTTGTGCTTTTTTTTTTTTTCCTGCCTTTGAGGAACTACGAGTTCACAGTTATGGTGAAAATTTTGTGGTCAAAACTTTGGAAAAATTACTCAGGATACGGCTACACTTTAGCTGTTTCTTTTGCAATAACAAGTGCAGGCAGTTATTTGAGGGCTTACGTTTGGTATTTTTCCCGTTCCCCCTCCGCCCAACCCCTCCTCCATGCCCCCAACACACCCAACCTTCCCATCCGTGGCTCCCATCCATCCATGTTTTCATATCAAGCGCTAAATGTGGCATCATTTCCCGAATAGTATTTCTCCCACAGCATCCCAATGGCAAAACTACTCTCGCAATGCAATACTCTCCTTGCCCAAACTCCTTGCCTTAGAGCGTACTCACGCTAGGCCTCAAAATCGCAGAATTGCAAATTGAGCAGCCAGATCGAGTCCAATCTGGCCTTTGGTTTCGCGATTCTGCGATTTTGAGGGCCAGAATCGCAAAGTGAGCACTGAGTGGCTGGTGGGGGGTAGAACGGGGGTCACTGCTCTAACCTTAGAGTGGCGTCCTAATCCCGCCCTACTCACGCCCTACCCCCAGTTCAACGAGGTAGAGCGCCTCCCCCCGAGGAGTACCACGGCCAGAGGGGGGGGGGGGGGTGCAACCCCGTTTCGGTGGCGTGGGGGCCTCGCCCCGGCAGTCAGGGAGTCGCCTGCGGTGCCATTTTTATTTTTTATGATTAAAGAAAAAACTTCAAAAAAGGGGAAATAATGCGGTGGTACAAAATGGTGGACCAGCCGTCAGACCCTTTCGGGGGACCGACAGCTAGAGGGAACCGCCCAGCGACCCCGGCCTGCCCAATAAGTTGTGTGTGTGTGTGTGTGTGTGTGTGTGTGTGTGTGTGTGTGAGAGAGAGAGAGAGAGAGAGAGAGAGAGAGAGAGAGAGCGAGAGAGGCGTTGAGAGGTGTTGAGGGGTGTTGGGGAGGGGTGCTGAGGGCTGTAGGGAAGGGATATCAAGGGTTTTTTTTTTGGTTTTTTTTTTGGTTTTTTTTTTTTGTTGTTGGATCAGGGGCACTCAGGACTCGTCATCTGCGACCCCCCACCGCCTGCATGTTTTTCGAAAGCGGGTTGGAGGGGGGGGGGAACAGGGGTAGAACGGGGTTAGAGCGGGGGTAGGGCGGGGTAGAGGGGCACTCTAATGACAACATACCCTGCTCTACCTGTTCTTCTCCGGTTCCTAGAGTGGGCAGATAGATTGAGTCATTCTTTTAAGCGGAGTCAATCTGGCCATTGATTGTGCGATTCCGCGATTTCGAGGGCCTAGTGTGAGTATGCCCTTGCTGAATATGACATGTAATTACTTATGAGTATTTCGGACTCCGTTTTTCTTGAAAGTGCTGCTCAGGGCATTGGCTCTCCTTGTTTGTCGATCACCTCCGGGAATAGCATTGTCTGTAATAGACCCTATATCGTTTCAGAGACTCAGCCTACCTCCTGAAGTGAGCAGATTAGTGCTCTCCCCTCTCCCCCCACCCCGGTACAGGATTGCTAATGCACATAGCCAGTCAAGCGACATAGCAAGCCAAGGCATATAGTCAGTCGAGCCCCATGTCCACCCAAGGCACATAGTCAGCCAAGTCATATTCAGCCAAGGCACATGCCCGTCCTACTTACCCAGCCAAGTCATGTATTAAGCCGAGAATAGCTAGGTACGTATAAGCAAGCCACATAGCCGGTGAAACAACATGCCCAAGCCCATAGCATAGCAAGCCACACACGCAAACCATATAGCCAGCCAATCCACATGGGCAGTCCGCATAGCCAGCCAATGCGCGAAGCCGGTCAAGGCACATAACCGATGAAGCCACATAGCCAGCAAAAAACTCTGCCAAGTACAACTACCGGGAACCTGATAGAATGCAAGCAAGCCAAGCTCCTTGTTCGTTACTGGTCTATAGACCGGACGGCAGGCTATGTTTTTACACCGACCGACGGACTAAGTCTATACACCGAAAGGGAGGGTATGTCTATCTACTCTACCAGTCGGCTATATCCATACAGCGAAAGAGTAGATGGACACTTCCTTTCGGGTATGTCTATCTACTCTATTCTATGCAGGGAGTAGTACCTAAGGTCCTAACCCCCAGTGAGGGATGGCAGGGGGAAGAGTGAGGAATACTCACTCCAGCCAAGACCGGCCAGCGGGCGGCAAGCCAACTGTTTCAGCCAGGGGGTGAACACCAAGCCCGCGGCAGGCGGCTGGGGGGGATTAAACCCACAACCTCCTGAATACCTCTTGCATGCTCAACCAACAAGTGAGCTAGGCCGCTGGCCCCTCACTCCTGTCTTGGTGCTTCGCTCTTGTGTCTTGGTGGTGGTTATGAGAGATATTGCTGTTGCTGTTGCTGTTGCTGTTGCAAGTATTATTACCTGTCGCTCTCGCCTTGGTGCTCGTGAGAGAGATTGTTGTTGCTGTTACAAGTGTTCTCACCTTTCACTCTTGTCTTGGTGCTTGTTTGCTTTGATGGAACATGATTTTTTTTGTGGGGACGAACCACCACGGTCCGCAGGTTGTGTCCTTGCTCGGCACGTACTTGGATGTGCGTTTGAGGTACCCTATCCGTCTGATGGGGTCTCGCTCATCCATATGGGATCCTTTTCCTACTGTCGATTGCAGTCTGGGCTCGTCAGCGTCTGTTTACCTCTCAGGGGCTGCAGGTGATGGACATATCGGAGGATGGGGCCAAGGGAACACTGCAGGAGGAGGGGTCGAGTTTCCACTCTATAACGGTGGCAAGGAGCCGACCCGCTTTGCATACGCTGTGTTTCTTCTTAACAAGGTAAGGTTTTTCCATTTTTCCATGTCCCTACAAGGCTACAACCCCCGCGCGATTTGCGTCGGCCTATTCGTCAGTTTGGAAATCAACAGAGATTTTCTTTCTTCCCCTAGGCCATATCTCAGATCATATACATACATGGTTGGGATTGAAGGCTCTCTCTCTACTAAGCGCATCCTTCCTCTGCTTTTACTGTGGGTATGTATTCTTCTGAAACGGCGTGCTGAGGTTCGTAAGGGCAATAAAGCTGGCCTGAATGGAGTCCACCATGTTGTCCAGATGCCTTGCGGCATTCTAACCAGGCTAGTTTCAAAGGACAGTAAAGCCAGCCTGAATGAATGGAGTCCTCCATGCTATCCAGATGCTTAGCGGCATTCGAACCAGGCTCTACTTCTTTTTGTCCTCTCAAACATTTTTACTTATTTGGACCGTTTGTCAATTTATGTGTGTCATCCTTGCGAAGGGGGCTTGCAGGAGGGGTCTGGATCATCGACTGTCCGGTTACAGGGTGGGGGATCCAGCAGCTTGCAGAAGGGGGCTTGCATGTCGGAGGGAGGAGGGAGGAGGGAGGACGAAGGAGCGCCGAGTCAGAGGGAGGAGGGAGAAGTATCATGTCAGAGGGGGGAGAGAGGACGGAGGAGCACCACGTCGGAGGAGGGAGGGAGGGAGGAGAAGGGAGAAGGGAGGAGGGAGGAGGGAGGACGAAGGAGCGCCGAGTCAGAGGGAGGAGGGAGAAGTATCATGTCAGAGGGGGGAGAGAGGACGGAGGAGCACCACGTCGGAGGAGGGAGGGAGGGAGGAGAAGGGAGAAGGGAGGAGGGAGGAGGGAGGGGGCGAGGTGATGGAGGAGGTGCGAGGAGGGAGGAGCGCCACGTCAGATTAGGGAGGAGGGAGGCGAAGAAGAAGAAAAAGAAGACACGCAGAAAGAGAAAAAGAAAAAGAAGAAGAAGAAGAAGAAACGAAGGAGGAGCCCAGGATTCAAATTGGATCCTGGATCAGTGCACGCTGTCGATCGATGCTGGATCAGTATACACTGTCGATCGATGCAGATCGATTGCCAGAATCCAACAAAAAAAAAAACCCTACAAAACAGAGCCTACTGGACCCCCCCAAAAAAATGCGCCGACCGCCAAAAACGAAGGTGGCACGTTCGGAATAGGGCGGTTGGCACGGTTGTGCAATTTCTTTTTTTGAGGCTTTTTCTGCCTCGGTGCGCAAGGCGCCCGGGTGCCTGCTCGGGGGGGTTGCCCGGCCGGGCGCTCCAGGTCCCATTCCGAGGCACGGTGGTGTACCCCGGGCGCCTGGGCCGGAAAGCTAGGTCGGTAATTATTTTGAGCTTGTTTTTTTTCAGAGGGAGAGAAGAGAGTACTTGTGTGTGTGTGTGTGTGTGTGTGTGTGTGTGAGAGAGAGAGAGAGAGAGAGAGAGAGAGAGAGAGAGAGAGAGAGAGAGAGAGAGAGAGAGAGAGAGAGAGAGAGATTACCCCGTCGGCAATTCCTTCTCCTTGAACATTACCGTATGCTCAACCTATGAAAAGAAATGAATTCAGGGATGAAAAAGTCAACGACAAGTTTATGGGCATTGGGTGCAGCTCTCAGCTCTGGCCCAATCTGATAGACATGAATTCAGAGAATCATCTCAGAAATGTTGATTTCGCATGGTAGTGATTGTCGCCGAGACAGTGACGCTGCTGACTACGGTAGCAAACCACCTCATTCTGTGCGTGCAGAGAGCTGCCCTTCCTTGCCTGTTCGTGCGCACCTGGGCATCAAGACATCAATTCTCCGTTTTGCGCCCAGGGGCATTATGGTATATACTATATATATATACTATATAGTATGTACATGGTCTGTCGGCAGTGTTTAGTTTTTTTTTGCCGCCGTCTCTGCCAGTGGTATTGCGCCGGGCATTACATTTCAAGCTTCATTTTTTCAAGCCTCTTCTCAATTTTTCTGAAACCAGTTCTAAGCTACTTTCACACAAGCAGGAGAGGAGAGGAGAGGGAGGGAGGGAGGGAGGGAGGGAAGAATAGGAGGGAAAGGTAGTATGAGCAAAAACGACTTGGTGCTGAAAAAACGTGTGTGTGGTTGTGAAGGCTACCGTCTTCCCCCGAACATATCGCACCCTGATTCTGAATGTAGACAAGCTGTCTTTCTGGTGCGATGCGGCCAAAATGCGAGTGCGTTATGTTCCAGGGAAGACGGTAGTTTGCTGTCCAGTCGTCGCCATCGGTTGGTAAATCCTGCGTGTTCGTCTTTTCTGCAATCGGTCCTGAGCACTCCCTTGTTATCACATATCCGGTGTACCATGATTTGAAGTATGCACAATGCTGCCTGCGTTTCCTTAACGCTCGTTGTGTGGGGGCAGAGCAGGACGGGGCATGTCTGTTTTTGCTTAGGGTTTAGGGTTATTGATTTGGGTTTAGGGTTTAGGGTTTTGCAGGGAACGTCGATGTGTGGGGTCAGATCAGCACTGTCATGGGTTTTTTTTTTTTTTTTTTTTTTTTTTTTTTGGTTACTAATTAATAATTATGGACTTTTTGTTTTTTGGTTGCAGGACATTGAGCAAATAATGAATGCTTACGGTATGGCGTCCCTGGGACCGAGACATGTTGTGCAGAATCTACAGAAGCTGGTTTCTTCGTTCTGCGCAGGCTGCTGCACTCTTCCTTAAAGCTTAAGGTAAGCTGTTTTCCCTGTTTCCTTCTCTGTATCGGCTTCCATTCAACACCCCATACCATTGCCGAATCGATCTGGCTTCTTGACATGTGCAGTTGGCTGCAAGGTCTAGTTGTTTCTCCCCCCCCCCCCCCCCCCCCCCCCCCCCCCCCGCCGTTTTTTAATAAAGGGGGTGTACTGGCTATAACCCCTATATCTGGCGGTATTCAAACTCAGGGTGTTTATCGGCAGCTACAACGACAACGACATGGGATGGGTAAATATCTGGGGACCATCTATTAAGGCTCTTTTGTGTCGGGAAAACGGTCGTAAATCGTTTTGAAATTCGAATGGACATGTCGTTTTCAAGACGAGGTCCTTGTGTCGAATGTTGGGGCTATCGCGGGGCATGATGACGTTGGGGTTCATTTGTGTTTGTGCACTACGCCTGTGTAGAATGATGTGATGCACCCACCGGTGGCCCTAGCTCAGTTGGTATATATCCATGACCTGTGGAAATGTGGACCCACGTTCAAACTGACCAGAATCAGAAAAGTCGTTCGGAATTACTCTGGGCCGGCCGGTAGTTTGAGTTAATTATGATGATATCTCAAGGTCGTTGCGCTTAACAGGGAAAGAAAGAGAGAATGATGCGATGCAGAAGTAGTAGCAGAACAGAAAAGGCGTTCAGCAATCGCAGCATGTTGTTCGGTTGTTGATGCCGCTGTGTGGTTGCTGGTTTTCGTTTGTGTGGCAGGTACCTTGCCGAGTGTTGGAAGAAGCAAAGACCTCTTAGGGTAAAGTGCTCATGTGACACATTGTTAGATGGGCGCCTCTTGATCACCCTCGCTAGACAAGTCTTTGAAAGGGATACTCACCAGATGTCTCTCTCTCCCTCTCTACACCCGCATAGAGGACAACACACACACACACACACACACACACACACACACACACACACACACACACACACACACACACACACACACACAGTGCTCTCTGTGTGGGAGGTCCGTTCTCGAGTGCCTGAAGTGCGAAAACCAGGGGCGAAGGGCATGTGTCACATATTGTTTGACAGTATAACCCTTGCTAAGTCAGTCTTGCAAGTGCCTCTCTCTCTCTCTCTCTCTCTCTCTCTCTCTCTCTCTCTCTCTCTCTCTCTCTCTCTCTCTCTCT